GATTAAAACAAGTATATGATTGAGAAGGTTTGTATATATAATTAAAAAAACAAAAAGAATGTATAAGTAAGTAATGAAAAATGGCAAGTATTGAAATGTAAATGGTCCAGTTTGGAGATGAGAAGGAAAGCATTTGTCAATAGGAATGTTATTAAAAGGAGTATTAATGAAATTTGGACACAATTGGAAAGACATTTTTGTATTATTAGATTTTAGAAGAAATTTAAAATTTAAAGAAAATTTGTTGCTTGACTTGAAAGTAAATTTGAAAAATTTGATTTAAAAATTTTGTTGCTTGAAAAGTTGAAAAAGTAAATTTGATTTGAAGTTTGAATTTTAATTTTTCTTTGAAAAAGTTTAAGGGTATATATATATTTTCAAAAACCTTTTGAATACATAGTGACTAATAATAAAATAGAGTAACTTATTATGATTCATAAAAAAAAATCTAGATTATGTATGAATCACATCTATTACATCAATTAATTTATAGTTATTTATCCTAAACTAGTAATATGAGTTAGCTTAATGATATAATAGTGGATTATTTATTGGAATTTACTGTAAATAATACTATCAAACCAGTAGTGATTGAAGTATTTTACCACCAGTTTTGTATCAATTGGTGATAAATGAAAAATAAAATATAGGGTAAATTTTTCTGGAATTGTCTGTTATCTGTAGCAACCAATTCACAATAAAATCAATTGGTAAAATATCAGTTTTTATTAATGAGTCATAGTCATTATCTATCTATAATCATGATTATAAAGAATTTTCATCTATAGATCGGTGGAAATCTAGATCTCTAATTGTGACTCATCAACATTTATCTAAATTCGTTCGGGATTTGAATATTGTGGGGCTTATATATACAACAATCGGTATTCATTTGGACAAAAAATTCCCAATAATATTCAATACATATCATGATAAACATAATATAAAATAAATTATTGGTCAGTATATTAGGATCATGCTGATTTTGACGGACTTATTTTTTTTGTTAATGGCTAAATAATTGATATTTTTTTTCCATCAGTTAAATATGACTACAATTTTACAGTTTAGTATATTTCGATTTTTATAAAAATATTTCTAGTCCATAGTTTTTTCCCGCTCTCAGCTGATATATTGTAATCTTAGTAAATAAATTTTCTGGGTGATAAAAAATTTGACTAAATCGGTAGATTGGTAGGTTGTGTATTATATTTTTACCGTGTTTCAATTTTTTTGCGCGATCACATCTCGTGATCGCACACGTCTTAAAAAATTCTTCGTAGGTTTTGTAGGTTAAATGACTCAAATAAGCCAAAACGAAAACCCTATATTGTTATTTATTTACGGAAATAGTTTTTTGCTGCAGATTTTTATGAAATTATAATCTTTATAGAATCGAGTAAAACTATTCTATTTTTTATACACTACACTGCAATATAAAGACCAAACTTGTCTTTACAGATCTTAGTGATATACAGCATGGTACAAACTCGTGACGAAATTGAGATTTATAAACAATATTACAATACAATACTAATTGTAATTTGGAATACAGAGAATGTTTTTGCATGAATCTTTATATAATAAATCTTTTTTTCAAATATTTTGTATTAAGTGTAGTACATTAAAAATGAGTTATTCTGCAAAGTAACAGGTAGCAGAATAGTATAACAACATTATGATCTTTCTTCGCCGATTTATTGAGTTTATTATAACATTAAACATCTATTTGCACGTGACCAAGGTAAAAAGCTAAGAGATGGTAAGTCGTTTCAAGTCTAATAGATAGATAGTTATTAGTTTTAATCGGATAGCGAAACTTCGATAAAAAGTTAGCAACCCGATTTTCGCGTAGATTGTATACTTCATGCTGCGCCATTAATATCAGCAGTATCAAAATAATCGACCTATCAGTAACTTTATTAGTTTATAAAAATAAAATAATTTAATGACAAAGATTAATTAATTTAACAATTTAGTATGTACAGTCACTGTTGTTTTGTGGAAAAAATATCGGTATATCAAATAAGTTGTCCATAATGTGGGCCAAAATCTAATTCTGACCGGAATTAAGATGGCGCAAAGTTCATTAAATAATTTCCAAATCGTTGTATAACTTAAAGTATCGGTACGACGGTACGTCGGTACGTGTTACGTCGCGAAATTATATATAATATCGGTATTAATTGTGATGCTTTATTTATATTATTAATTTATTTATTTATTTATTAATAAATTTTTTTCTTAATTTTTTTTAAAAGATATATTTACATAGGTGAAATTGACTTTACAAAACAGTCAGGTGATAATATTCTTAAACTTTTAATTGTGTCTGATGAATTATTATTTAGGATTGTTTAATTAAATGGGGTATTGAACAAACTGGTTTAAGTAATAATCGAGCTAAATGGGATAATGAAGATTATGAAGCGTTAATTATGAACGTTATTTAAATATAAATTATAATCATAATTATTTTAATATTAAAGAAATTGAAACATTTTTAGTAATAAAAAGTTGATTAAAAATAAAATAAATAAAATTAATTGTTAAAATAAAATAAATAATGTTATAAAAATTTTTCTCTGATGACAATCAAACAATTAAATTTTTTACGTTTGTGATATCATTGTCAATGTTATATATACCATATTTTCCATAAATATAACATATTTTCAAAATTTATAAAGACTTGAATTTTTGCTTATCAAATAGCAGTCTCGGAATATAATGAGAATATTCTTATAGGTGGCCTTTTCCTCTTATAAAATTGTGTACCGTCAATCCGTTTTATACCATTTATCGCCGGAAATAAATGATATCCGGCAAAATTGATTAATTTATCATGATCACGTAAGCTACCAGGGATATAACCGTACGTGGCACAATGACAGCCAATCATTCAACACCCACCTCCATATTGAATACTCCGTGCCTAATAACTTAACTCTATAATAGTGGGTGTTATCTTCTAATAATCGTTTATAGTTTATAATGGAGCCAAATAATGTGTAGATTTTCCAGCAGCATTACGTAATTCTGAGATGCAGATTTCACATTCTTTTCAAAGTTGTCTTTCTGTGTGGAATTCTGTTAAGAATTCTTAATTCAATTGATCAACAGATTGATCATAACGTACCAATAATCAAAAAATTATAAATATCATGTCGTAATTTTTCTTATTACATTTTATTATAGCATAAAATGGATCTTGTAAAGATATCAAATGATTTTGACCCAACTCCAAAATTAAAATCTAGTCCAATACCAATAAATTTTATTTCTTTTGATAATTATAAAAATGATTATTGCATTTTTTGTGGAGAATACTACATTATTGCGCCTCTTTCTATTGAGCAAATACATTTCAAAAATTGTTTATGTTATCTTATCAATATAAAAGATAATAATATGCACTTGGATGCGTATTATACAATGGACTTAGAATGTAGTGAACATGAAATTAGGATAAAAGAACCACAAGTTATTCAAAAATGTTGCAAAAATCGTTTGAAAGTATTCTGCTTCAAACAAATGTTTGATTCCCTTTCTTTTAAAGATTTAAATTTACATAATAGTGTGGTCGGAAATGAAGAATATTGTAAACTGTGTAAAAAATCATTATATCAAGAAAATGATATTTCTGTCATGAAGGGAATCAAATTGTGTACAGATTGTTATCTAATTTCTTCTGAATATATAGAATCACCCTTAATTAAAAAATCTATTCCAATTATTTATTTACCATGGTGGCATAATATATCTCATTGTAATGTATGTAATTTAGATTTAACTATTACATCAGACTGCCAGAAATATTGTAAGATTTGTCTTATATTTCATATTGGATGTAGATATTGTTTAACAACAAATATTATTTTTGGATTAACAGTTCAATCTCAATGTAAAAAATGTAAAAGAGTATCTTTTGTGAATATTTTTAGTGGAAATGATGAATTAGATGAATTTCTCTTTGATTTATTCTCTAACATTCATCATAATTTTAAACCAGAAGAATTTACAGACAAAATAAAAATTATTGACAAAAATTTTGTTCCATCAGAAATAGATTCAATTATACGTTTTATGTGTCAAAATTACAAAGTTACTCGATCATTGGACACATCTGAAAAGTTAGTGGAATGGATACCATATTCTCAGTTTACAAATGTAAAAGAAATAGCAAGAGGAGGATTTGGAGTCATATATCTTGCAACTTGGGCTCAAAAAAGTATCATTTTAAAAAAATTCAAAAATTCTCAAAAAACTAGCAGATATTTTTTAAATGAGGTATTACAAATCTTTGTATTTATTTATTTTATAAAAATTAATTTAATTTAGCCCTTGTTTATTGAAATTTTTTTTTTTTAGTTAAAATCAAATCAATATTGTTATGAAATTAGACATCATATTATTAGAGTTCATGGCGTTACAAAAGATCCTAAATTAGGTGAATATATGTTAATTATGCAATATGCATCAGGAGGAGATTTACATAAATGGTTGCAAAAAAGTTTTGCAAATATTACGTGGAATAAAGAAAAATTAATTATTTTATGGCAAATTTCAGAAGGGTATTTATATTAACAAATATTTTATAATACTTATTATCTAATTTCTAATTCATTTATTTCATTTTATTTTAGACTTGAAACTATTCATAAAGCTGATTATATACATCGAGATTTTCATAGTGGAAACATATTATATGATTTATTTCACAATAATTCAATACAAGAAAAATATAAAGAAAGACATCAATGGTTAATTGGAGACCTAGGATTATCACAACCCACAAATAATACATCATCGAATAATGAAATATATGGAGTAATACCTTATATTGCACCAGAAATATTTAAAGGATCTTCATTTTCTAAAGAATCAGATGTTTATGGTATGGGTATGATTATGTGGGAACTCACAACAGGTTGTAAACCTTTTGCCAATGTTGAACATGATATCAATCTGATTTTTAAAATCTTTGATGGAGAACGACCTGAAATTACAGAAGATACACCTGAATGTTATGCAAATTTAATGAAAAGTTGTTGGGATCCTGATCCCAAAAAAAGACCATCAGCAAAAAAGATTCGGAATACTTTTGGTAGTTGGTCTTTCAGAAATAAGCATAACGATATATTTAATAAAGCTGAATTAAAAAGAAGAGAGTTAATAGAATCACAAAAGCTTGGTCCTGAGTTTGCTAAAAAACCACATCCAAGAGCTATTTATACAAGTAGACCACTAAGCTTTTTCATTTCTAAATGTTCATCGAATTCATCACAAGGTATTGTCTTAGTAAAAATCTAAAAATTAATCGTGGTAACTTAAATGTTAACCAAATACATTAAAATTTTTTAGGTTATAATTACATTTCAGAAGAACAAGGATTTGATATAGACGTTGAAAGGTATTTAAAGTTTAAAAAAAATTTTTTTTGGAATAAATTCAATATTATTAATTATTTATAATAATTTAATTGTGTAAGTTATACTAGTAAGTCCTTAAGTGTACCTGTAACTTCTTTAGGGAAGCGAAATATTGAAGAATTAAATATAGAAGAAACTAATAATGATAACGGTAAATGATTATTTATTTATAATTATTAATTTTATTCAAATATATTTATTTTTAATTTTAAATAGGAAAACATGTTAAACTCGTGTATAGAAATATTGAATAATTTAATGAGCATACATAGTTTGAAGTTATTTAATTATTATCACATATAAATTACTTAGTTTTTATAAAATGGATGAAAGGTATAATAATAAATGTGCGTGTAAAATGAGTTTAATACTGAAAAAATCCTGAACAAACTTGAAGCACGTCTCAGAACACATTTTTAAAAGTTGAAGTTTTGTGCTCAAATTCAGTTTAATATGCTTTTTTTGAAGCAATTTAACAACCTTAGTCTAGATAAAAATTAACCATCATATTAACATTAGAAAGAAGCGTAAAGTCACATGCTTTGCTTACGTTATATGATTTTCATTATCTCGTTACTTGCTATCGAAAGAATATATTTATAAATTGTTAAGGAGAAATATATTAGTATGGATAAGTGTATTATATATAGTGACATTAAACTCATATTTATTAAAGGCCTTGTCTATAATGATTTTGCGATTCTTTATTAACTTATACTAGTGAATAACATGTTCATTATCACAGCGTCATTTCTTTTGAGAGGGACCATAAAGATCTGTCTCCCCTGTTGAGAAGTTGGCCTATCGAAAATTTTAACCGATTGTAAATCAACTTTCCGTTTAAGTTTGACCTGTTAAATAAAAAAGGGCTGTTATAAATAAATAAATTTCCATAATGAAACACTTGCGACTTAGTCCCCTTACCTGACTTGCTTTAATAAGTTCTAGCTTTTGCGAATTCTCAATCTCTAACTAGAAACAGTTTGTTTTTTCGTCCTGAAGCTATGGTAAAATTTGATTAGTAATAGAAACTGACGAAACTGTTGTATAGGAGTAATAATTCTAGCAGGATGATGGAAAGGCGGTACACGATCCAGGGCAACACCTGCCGGAGCTCCCTTTGTCATTCTATACACTCTCAACATGGGAGAAACCAATTAGAATGCAATGTGAAAGCCAGTGATCGATACCCTATACCCTATACCATATGCTGAGTTTAGGGAAGGCACCCACTCGCTAGGTTTACGGGTCGATACCCGCTGAGGTGGCTCACATCTTTCGCAATAGTTTTATAAATAATCTTTAATTAGCTCTTTGTCGCTAACAATTTTCTCCGTGGCAGTAATGAATCTTTTCTTCCAAATTGAGTTCTGATTCTTCCATGGTCTACCGGTAAGTTCTGATACGATTAATAACTTGTTGTTGATTAAGAATTTATTATAAGAACCTTTTCCCTGGCACGTTTTCAAATATGAAACTTTAGCTTTTAACAGAAAGTACATTTTAAAGTCAGGCCATGGCTCATATATGTGATGCTAAAACTATTGAAACTACCGCATTAGTGAAAGACATTTTGTTATGTTAACGATCAAAAAAAATTTGGGTATATTTATTAAGGAAATCGATTGAGAAATTCGAAATGAATTTCACTATTTACCACATACCCAAAGTTTCATACGCAGTCATAGCTATATGACTACCCCAGAGTACCCTACAAAAATGTCACGAAACGGCCATTAATAAATTAACTATTTGACAAATAATGTGTGACAAATAGGATTTCACGCCTCAAAAAAATTGTCCCCCAAATACTTATGAAAAATGGAAACAAGGAAGGGTGTGACGCATGTGACAAAAAACAGTCCCGTGATTTTTTCGTGACATTTTTGTATGGGTAAATCACAAAACATTGCTGCACCACGAAACATAAAATCAATTCAAATGTTAGAATCGAAACTTGAGAAACTATTATAAAAAAAATGATTATTTCTTAGAAATAATTTTGTTGCTGACTTAGCCAAGTCTTTAAAAAACTTGTTGCCATCTGATCAACGTTGAGGTGCAGCAACATTGATCAGGGGGAAGGGAAAGGGAAAAGGAAGAACGAAGAGGAAAGGGGAAGGGGAAGGACGAGAGATGGAAAGGAAACGGAAAGGGAAAGGGAAAGAATGAAAGAGAGATGGGAAGGGAAAAGAGCAAGGGGCAAACAAAACATATACCACACATACCCACACCATCCACATATATACCTAAAATAAGAGGGGTTCAAAGAGAAATAAAGAAAAAAAAAGAGTCCTAAAGGAGTCCTAATAAAGAGAAAACCTAAGATTGCGGTATTACCGGAATTTAATGTTTAGTACTTTACGAATACTTGAAGGTTAGCAGTACCAGCTGAGGTAAGATATTCAAACAAATTTTAATCGCAAACCTCATGATGTTTTCATTGAATGTAAATCAGAGTATTGTAGTATTGTACTGTAACAAAAAAGCGTACTGTGGTGGATTTAAAAACAAAAATAAAAATAAATACTGTAACAAAAAAGCCATCCAGTACTGTAATAAAAAATCATCCAAGAACAAGAAAAATAATATTGGTGTTTTTGGAAGAACTCTTTATTATTAATAAAATTTAAAAAAATTATCAAGTAAAATATCGTAAATACCTCTTGAAATATCCAGATTCATAAAAAAAATCGATATATTTTGTCTGGGATCATCGTTTTGATGACCAAAATCTCTTTGCTCTACTCTTTATATATTCAGGTATATGACTTTCAACCTAAACTTGGTTTGTGTAAAAGTTTATACAAATAGATATTATAGTTCTCATTAAGATAATTTAATTAATAATTATATATCACGCGAGTTCAAACCCGAGAGTCCTTTTATAACGTATCTGATATAATTAATAATTTAAACTCAGAATTTGTTTATTTTCAAAATAAAATCACTGAATTTTGCGGCAATCTTGCAGTTTTGACTAATTATAGCTTTTGGACTAACAAATAAAGAATAGATGTCAGTAACAATGATAAATTGAAACATGAGTATAAAATGAGTATGAAAGTTATAACTAACTGTACAAGTAGAAGAATGATGTTGCTGCACCTTTAGGTAACCCATAACAATAAAAGGGATCTTGGGTAGAAGGGTTGACAAAAAGGCGGGTACAATCTTCAAATTATCAGAGATATAGCCGTTATGCGATTCCACCTTGTCTTGTTGAGAAGATTATCAGAGTTATGGCCGTTATGTGATTCTACCTTGTCTTGTTAAGGATATTTCACAACGTTGAATCTCAGATTCAAATATTCTTTATTGGGATAAATACATAATGTAGTTAGAAAATGTTCTATTGAATTTGTTTGGTTTTGTAACATCTGACAGTGATGGTATAACTAAATTTGTATTTTTTCTTAAAACTTAAGAAAAGAGAAAACCTAAATAAAAGAGAAGACACAACTGACCGAAAAGAGAATACTTAAAGAAAAGAGAGAAAAGAGAAGACACGAAAGAGAAGACGTGGAAAGAGAAATCTAAGAAAAGAGAAGATACACACAAAAAATGAATTTTTTTTTGAGACATACATTAATTTCTTATTTAATAAATGAATGTGATATTTCTTGCGAAATACAATTTGGTTTTTTTGTTTGGCTAAATTTGCACAAAAGATGGCTCATTATTATAATATAAACAATCATTGTATTACAATTTTATATACTTTATTATAAACTTCGTTTATATTATATATATTTAATTTATGCATACCTATTAAAATCACTAAACATCTTTGAAAATATTTATCCAATCAACAATATTCTGAGTCATAGTTTCAAAAATTTCTTAATGATGTCTAGATTTTTTTTTTTTGATAAGATTGATACTAAAAGCCCATACTTCATTTGGCTTTTTGCACAAAAATTGATTCAAAAACACTAATATGCATTGGATTTCCAAAATTAACATTCCAAAAAAAATAAAGTTATTAATAAACTGTCATAGAGAACCTATAAGATTTTGATACTTCGCTTTTTTGTGTTGCAAAAAAAAAAAAAAAAAAATTTTTTTTAAAATTAAAAAAATAGATTTCTTGGCGTGTTATTCAATCCGATCATATTGTAATTGTTTTTTAAATCTCAGTTTCGTCACGAGTTTGTACCATGCTGTATATCACTTAGATCTATAAAAAAAAAGTTTGGTCTTTATAGAATCGAGTAAAACTATTCTATTTTTCATACACTACACTGCAATATAAAAATTATAATTTCATAAAAATCTGCAGCAAATATTCAATAAAATAAAACTATTCCCATAAAACAAATATTAACTTATTTGAGTCATTTAACCTACAAAACCTACGAAGAATTTTTTAAGACGTGTGCGATCACGTGATGTGATCGCCAATCTACCGATTTAGTCAAATTTTTTATCACCCAGAAAATTTATTTACTAAGATTACAATATATCAGCTGAGAGTGGGAAAAAACTATAGACTAGAAATATTTTTATAAAAATTGAAATATACTAAACTGTAAAATTGTAGAACTGATGGTCAATTATTTAGCCATTAGCAAAAAAAAATCAGTCCGTCAAAATCAGCATGATCCTAATATACTGACCAATAATTTATTTTATATTATGTTTATCATGATATGTATTGAATATTATTGGAAATTTTTTGTCCAAATGAATACCGATTGTTGTATAAGCCCCACAATATTCAAATCCCTAATATATACCAAATTTTGTTGAACAAATTTAGATAAATGTTGATGAGTCACAATTAGAGATCTAGATTTCCTAGATGAAAATTCTTTATAATCATGATTATAGATAGATAATGACCTATAAGATAACAGACAATTCCAGAAAAATTTACCCTATATTTTATTACAGTAAATTCCAATAAATAATCCACAATTATATCATTAAGCTAACTCATATTACTAGTTTAGGATAAATAACTATAAATTAATTGATGTAATAGATGTGATTTATACATAATCTAGATTTTTTTTTTTATGAATCATAATAAGTTACTCTATTTTATTATTAGTCACTATGGTATTCAAAAGGTTTTTAAAAATATATATATACCCTTAAACTTTTTCAAAGAAAAATCAAAATTCAAACTTCAAATCAAAACTTCAAATATCAAAACTTCAAATCAAATTTACTTTCAACTTTTTCAAGCAACAAATTTTTCAAATCAAATTTTTCAAATTTACTTTCAAGTCAAGCAACAAATTTCTTTAAATTTTAAATTTCTTCTAAATCTAATAATACAAAATG